CATACATACATACATACATACATAACATATATATATATATATATAATAATAATAATACTATTATAATAAATACTTTTTAAAATATATTAATACAATATGGTATAATATATATATCAATAACTCAATACAATACCTTGAGCCTGAGTCGTAGTAGTGTGCTAGCTTGTTGAGTGTATCTGTACGTTCTTTGCGCCGTCTCTCCGCCCTACCGGGTGATCGCAGGGGCTTTTGTTTTTGTTTCTTCTTTCTCTTTTTCGACTTCCGACTCTCTTCCTCACCCACACCGTCGGCATCACTGGTAGGTATAACAGATCAATGTAGAGTTTAGGGTTCAGGGTTACGGATTGTAAATTTCTTGGTAAGTGTTGGTAGGTAGCTACCACAAGGGAATATGGAGACGATAAAAGTCGCTAATTGATAAGTGACAAAAGGATAAAAGTACACTATACGGGTACCATACAATGCCACAGAAACTGCAGAAAAAAAACGAGAAAAAAAACAGGCCGTACCTACCTCCACGCTTGCTTGTCTAGTTGGCTTCAACTGTAACAGTATACACATACTACGGTGAACACCCGTACCATCACTATTAGATGGAAAGTCTCTATCAACTGTTACAGTATACGCATACTACGGTGAACACCCGTACCATCACTATTAGATGGGAAGTCTCTATCACTACATGGTCCACTGTGTGTGTTAGTAGTGGTTGACCTTCTGATAGATATACGTACCACCACACATGTAGACATACATACCACCCTCACATGTAGACATACATACCACCCACACATGTACACATAAATACCACACACACATGTACACATACATAACATCCACACATGTACACATACATACCACCCACACATATACACATACATAACACCCACACCTATACTCACACCACCCCTAAACAGTAAAGATCATACCTCTCTCCCCTCCCATCGTCATCCTTCTCTTTCTCCTCGTCACTGTCACTGCTGCTATCTCCATCGTTGTCATCATCCTCAGATGAGCTTTCCCCATCACTGCTTGTGCTGCTGTCTGTGCCACTGGAGTCGTTTGCCTTGTCGTACTCTTCGCGTGTGGGAGCGTTCAGGAATTCGGGTTCGGCGTCCGTGTCCAAGAATAGCAACACACTGCGAAGGTATGAATATACAAATGAGAGTAGATATATATGTGAGAGTAAGTGGTTATAGATATATATGTGAGAGTGAGTGGGTATAGATATATATGTGAGAGTGAGTGGGTATAGATATGTATGTGAGAGTGAGTGGGTATATATATATAAGTGAGAGTGAGTGGGTATATATATATATGTGAGAGTGAGTGGGTATATAGATATATGTGAGAGTGAGTGGGTATAGAGATATATGTGAGAGTGAGTGGGTATAGATATATACGTGAGAGTAAGTGGGTATAGATATATATGTGAGAGTGAGTGGGTATAGATATATAGGTGAGAATGAGTGGGTATAGATACATACGTGAGAGTGAGTGGGTATAGATATATACGTGAGAGTGAGTGGGTATTGATATATACGTGAGAGTGAGTGGGTATAGATATATACGTGAGAGTGAGTACATACTTTCTAGTACACCCTTTCTCTAGATCTAGTGCTGTATATAAGTGAGCCAACGTTTGAGTCAACAATGTTTGGATGTATGTACAGAGTGGAGAGGAATTTTTATATATAAGGCACTCCATTAAAAAAATAGAGAAATTATATTGTCATAATATTGTATCATATTATATTAAACTATATTATATTATATTATAATATACTACATTAAACTATACTATATTATATTATAATATAGTATTGCACCATGAGTGGCTTGGTGTAATGTCCATTGAGTTTGAATTCCCCCTCACAGCCATGCCAAGAAACGAAAACACAGCCCATGGCGTAGATAGGAAGGCTCACGCTCCTAACAGAACAGTACTGTATACAACTGTTTGGTCCACTTTATAGTCTTACCAACGAAAACCCTAAACCCTAAAACTAGAACAGATCATCAGTGAGTCCGGATTCAAACGCGGCATGCGTATCGAAAAACAACTGGACCGAGAATTCACGGTTCAACGCGTGAACTGGCTAAACAAACCCCTCGATATGGACTAAGTTCATGGGGTGTGAATATGCAATAGGCACCTCCACAGAATAATTCTCCCGCTTATAGCTATATAAATGCACGATTGCGCATACAAGCATGAGAATATAGGAATGAGCATAGTGAGTGTGCAGGATGATGTAATAAAACATCCATGAGATCTTACCTACCGAAGGAGAGAGTAGAGTCAGTGTAGGTATAAGTATAAGGTCACATCTATTTATACAGACCCCCCACAAAGCCAATCAAGCGCCCAAGTCACGTATATCCTTGTCAATACAAGTGAACCTTGGCCCAAGATACTGTATGTAAACCTTGGCCCATGATACTGTATGCAGACCTTGGTTCGGGTACTGTATGTGAACCTTGGCCCAAGGTACTGTATGTAAGCCTTGGCCCAAGGTACTGTATGCAAACCTTGGCCCAGGTACTGCATGTAAACCTTGGCTCAAGGTACTGTATCATACCTGTCGTTGTCGAAAACGTTGCTTAGATGTACAGGACGATGCGAGTCAATGATGTAAAAAGACACATTCTCTGCCTCCTCGAAGATCTCCATGATGTCTAAGTTAGACCCGCAGTTGAGCATAATAACGCTCCGTAACTGAATGAACAAAAAATAATGATTGCAAAGCTCAATATTCGATATATACTTATACTTATACCTATACCCCTATATATATATATATACATATACATATACATATATATAATATATATATA